GATGATTCTCAAACACTAGCAAACATAATGCAATACCGCATGAAATGATTATCAGAGCTCAGTTGATGTATGGCTTAGAGACAGTTCTGAAGCTATTGTGTTAAAGGTTAGAGTGAAGGTAGACAGTTACATTTTGTATGACATGATTAGAGGAAGGCAAAAGTGGGAATCAGGGGTTTAAAAAAAAATAAGAGGGAACTTGGAATCTATGGCTGATGAGAGAGTGGCTGCTGTTGTCAATGTAAGAACTCTGAACCACATTCCTTTGTCCCCAGGCTTGACTAATTTTTTCTCAGCTGAAAGACATCAGCATTAGAAGAAGCAATTCAATCACACAAAAGCTAAAGGAACAGGGTGGGTAGAGAAGAACTTAACAGACATGAGATAGCCCAACGTCCGGCTGAGAGAGATTTTTTTTTCTTTTTCCACTCTAAGACGTCCCCAGTTTGTCCTCACATAGCACACAGTCAGGAATCGAAAATACTATAGTTTAATTTTCATACACTGTGGGCACACACTCAGATTTCCAGCCGCTAATGTCCTTCTCGATCATAACAGTCCTAATTATTTTCACTTATAAGTTCTAATATATTGCTTAGAATTCAAGGAGAATACAGTGAGAGGCTGTGAAAGACATTAAAGCTGAAAGTCAGAAGGGGGGAAAGTATATTTATTAAGATCAGAAGGTCATCTAATTGAAAACAACTAATTTATGCCAGACCTTATGCTTTACAATGGCCTGAATTTACAACTGTGCTCTCAGGACAGACGAGCAAGATGAGTTCTCATAATTATCAGCCCTGAGCTTCTTAGCCAGGTGTTCACAAGTAAACTTTTTGGTCCCAGCAGGATCTAGAACCAAGCTTTGAATTTGGTAAGAGTGGTTACAAAGAATAAGAGGAAGTACTAGAAGATGGTTAGCTAGCAATTGCCAGAGAAAGTACACAGACATTTGCTGAATGTTGCTTACCGAAGTGCACAGAATAGCATTATTCTGTAGAAGGCCTAATTCAATCTGCCCTTCGATGCATACATCATAATCTTTTACTGTTAGAAACGGGAACACTGCAAAATTGACTTCTAGGTTATGCTTCTGGAGTTCCAGTGTAAAACATCAGATAAAAAGTGGCCAGAGCAGAAGAATCCCCCTTTAATAAACAGCCAGCCATCTTGTCTTTTCTTCAAATGTTCATTCATTGGATTAATTCTTAAAATACACACCTGTGTAGTTTTGCAAATTATACTATTCCATGTTTATACTTCGCCCGATTCTACAAAAGTTATGTATCAATCAAAACACAAGGAAATTAGCTCATTCATGAGTAAATCCTTGGTCTATAGAGGAATAAACCAATGGTGTCCAATAGACTGCAGCTTTGGACAGATGATACTTGGTAGCATATTGACCAACAAAGGGGCACAGGGTCCTTAAAGGAGAAAAAGCCTCCATATTGACTTAAGGGTATAATCACCCCGATTTCACCTCTTAATCCAGGTGAGCTATCAGCATCCCTGCAGCAGTTTGTTAAGAAGCGTTTAGACATGTATCCTAAGAAAACGTAACCCTAAGCACCAAGTGAGTAAATAATTAATCAGCATCCATAATCACTGGTCCCAAACCTTCCTTCTTCAGCAAAGTTCTTTGGCTTCTGTCAGCCCCCATTCTCTGCGTCACCTGAACCCATTCGAAAAGGGAAACGAAGGAATCCACATAGATGCATGCTCTCCTAAAGTTTGAAACTACCTATCTTGACTGCATTCAACACAACTTGAGATATCGTATATGGGTCTGTAGCATCCTATAACATGTTTTCCAAGTCGTCTTATACAAATTATGTGATGTGTGTTTGTGTGCAAAAGCTGCAAGCCTATGTTAGCTCCATGGTGCTGCGTGGTCCTTGCTGGATCCTTTCACGTAATCCAACATGCCAGCATCATGGAGCTTCTTCGGAGCCCTCTCAACTGCTGCTGGATGGGATTTAAATTCCTAGAAAGCTGACTTGTGTTTTCTTTCTTTGGCCATGGAAAACCCATTCCTGCATTGCCAGGCTACCATTCTATGCTCACAATTTGGCCGAATAAAACACAGGAGGTATATAGTGCTTGTTTATTCAGCCAGTCCAATCCTTATCTTTGTTTGGCTTGGCAGTAAAAAAGGCAGAAAGTGTAATGGAAAGACAGACGCCTTTGCAATAAAATCCTCCTGCAAATACTTCTAATGTAGCTTCAAACAAGAAGGACACATTCTTCATACTCTTCATACCACTTTACCAGCACCCAAGGGGTAGTGTTCTATTAAGCCAAGTACTCGGTCCACTTATTAACTTCAACTTTGTAACTGAGAAACAGTGAACTCGTCATAGGATTACACAATAATCAACACACCGGGCTAACGATAGGAAGACAATTCCTATTTGGATACTGAACCTGAGGAACTTCTGAAGACTTCTCCAAACCTCAAATTATTCATTTTTCTCTCTTCCTGGCTTCTCACAAAGCCAAAGAGGCTAGACTTTGTGTGTGTGTGCGTGTGTGTGTGTGTGTGTGTGTGTGTGTGTGTGTGTGTGTGTCTACCTTGCCAGTCTAAAGGGCTGAGCTGAGTGTCTTCAAGGACCTGAGCTAGGGTTCCTGAAATCAGAGGACCTGTCTCCTTTAAAATGCCATTGGTCTGATGCCACCTTCTGATCTGTCCCTCCACAAAGAAACAGAGGAGCATGTGAAGAGGAAGAAAGACACAGTCTTTCTATACCTTAACAAGAACACCGAGAGCATGGACACTGATCTGAGAGGGGCTGTAACCGTGGGGCAAATGGGAAGGTTTCCTGCCAAGCACTATGTCTTGCTTACTGCAGCACGGAAAGGTGGGGTTATCTCTGAGGAAAACAACTGGGGGAGTTGAAAATCAAGCACAGGGCTAAGTGGGTCACCTGGAAAAAAACCACCACCGTCCTCCTTTGAGTTGCATGTCTTAATAGCAAACTCTTCTAAGGAGCCCAGGGGAGAATAGTCCTACAGAGCCCCGGAATCTACCCTGGCTCAGTTTCTTCACAACAATAACAAATTGGCACAGCGTGCAGTGAAATGGATGAAGGGTTACCTAGCTCCAGGCACACAAAAGAAACCATTCAGGGCTCTCAACTTCTCTATACATCTTTTGAACACATTGATTGCAGAATGACAGAAGCATGAATAAGCAAATTTGCATTTCCCCCAACTACAGCTCATTTCTCTCCAGCCAAAAGAAGAGGGGAGGTTAATGAAAATAAAGGTGATTATACTATAAGGCAGCCAACGGGTACAGGCACCCTAGCCATTGCAACATGAACAAACGGACTCAACAATAGCACTTGGCTAGATCAGAAACTGTTGCTTTGTAGCAAGGCACACTACAGAAAATAGAATGGCAATTTTCCTCGAAAGGGAAAGTTACCTTTGCTTTGTTTAAAGCAAAGCTTCCGAGGTATGCCTTTAACCAGGAGGAAAGCTGTAGAAATAGAAGAAAATGGGCAGATGCCTAGTATGTACCAAGGACGACTTCCAGAAGCTCTTCATCTCAGGGTTAAAGACTCCAGGATTAAGGGTGTGATAATCTCTGTAAGAATAAGTAGACCCTCACCAACAGGGGAAGCAAGACAATGGCATCCAAGCCCTCCTGAGTTGGGCACTGTGATGCTTCAGTTGGGCTGCTGAGGCCTGCAGACATGCCATCCCAACTCTCTCACAGACATACGAGGGCTTGGGGACAGAGGCTATGGGTAGCAGGGAAGGGAGGTCCACCACAACACTGCTTCTGGATGACTCTGGAGTTGTAACAAAATAGACACCTGCCAGGGATGACGGAGGAGCTCTCACCCCACCCCACCCCCCCATTCATTGCCAGGCAGTTTTAGCTGGAAATCAGAACCTCTGAAACAACCCACTAGGGGTTTTTGCTGGCACCTTAAACTCTGAGACTTTTATTGGTTACAAGAGCAGCTATGGGCCCCTCAGAAAGCTGTGTTTGTGTATCTATTACTTATCTTGAGTCCAGTCAGAATGTTTGTGTGGGAAACATGCTTTAAAAAAAAACAGGCCCAACACAGTAGCACAACACACGTACCTTGTAATATAAACAAATGAAAAGCAAACCTTACAGTGTTCTCGTCAGACATCACAAAGTTTGTGCTGTGAGAAATTGAATCCATGCCCCCCTATAGGTCCAATGAAGACAAGCAACTTTCAAAATAGGCACCTTTGTCCTTGTAATGGCCTCAGCAATTAGCTCCTGCACACAGAGTCATAGATGCCAACAATAAATGGAACATGATGGCACTGTCTGGAGACCTCGACACACTGACTCATGAAATTGAACCTTAATACATGACCACACATTCAAGAACTGAGTAAGTTCTCTAACAGTTAGAGCACTTCATGAGTCTGTGTAAGAATTCCATAAGATTCTATTGGTTCATCCCAGAAGTGCTGCCCTTGACTAGCTAAAGCATTTTAAAATGTGAGCAAGTCAGACGTTATGATTTTTTTGGAAAAAATATTGAGTCAGCATCCAAAGTTTCCCTTAGCCTTCTATAGAATGCAGACCAATTGAGATTAGATGTCAGAAATCCATGCATAGCCTTTCCTAGAGCATTTTCAAAACAAAAGACAAAAAAAAAAAAAAAAAAAAAAAAAGACAAAGCAAATTCCCAAAATGTCTAATCCTCCTCTTTCTGTTAGATACTAGGTTAGTTGTCATTTTCCCATATTTTTGACTATGAAATATCAGTTATTGTGAATGTCCTCATGCTTTCTTATTTGGGATGCTTTATACAACAAGAAAATTTTAATTGCATAATCATTACTTTCTCAAATGCTCTTCTTGGTTTTATGCTTAGGTTAGTTTTTTGTTTGTTTGTTTTTCTCACTTGATACCTGTCTTCTTGCTCAAGACAAACCTTTGACTGCTCCTGTCATAGGATTTTAGAAGTCTGAGTTGTCAGACTGAAGGGGTATTGATTACTTACCATATCCAGGAATGCCTTCTAAAGGGGAAGGTATTCACGTGCATCATGTTCGCAGAGCTTCCGTCATTAAGCTTTTCCTTGTCTCCTATGTTACATGTAGTGATTTTCACAGATGAATCCCAACTCTCTGGCTTGAGCATTGGGCATGGACAATTATTGCAACAAGTAATGAATTCCCCCCCAAAAAATCACCCCCCCAAGAAAACACAAATAACAAAAACAAAAGCCCTTCCAGGATTTGAAGAAAGAAGCATCACAGAACACTGCAGGTATGAGTCCATCCATGTAGCTTCCACTAGTCAACACACACTAAAATAACCAGTCCAATGGCTAATTCCTAAATGACGGCAAGAATTGTCCTGGTGAAATCCAACTGCCTCGAATATGAATTAATGCATCCTCGCAGAAAGGACTATAGAATGTGGACAAAAAGGAGCGAAGAGACAGTTTCTTGTTATCCTTGTTAAGGAAGTGTTAGGAGGGAAATGAGGGACTTCACGCTGCTTGGCCATGCTGTCCTGTAAGGATGAATATTGCTTTTTCTTCTTTCTTAGGCACATATTCATGTGTGGTCACTTCGGCGCAGTGCTACAACCTTGAGTCTGAGACTTGTCCAACAAAGATCCGAGTAGCGGGACTAGAGACCATGTAAAGCATAAGCCAACCTCTTCCCCAAATCTCAGACTTGCTGGTCTCGAATGCTCAAGTAGCAAGGCAATGAATAATTTCTCCTTTGCAGGACAGGATTAGTGTCGGCTCCCATCATGACTTCAGAAGGCGCTGTGGTGATGAAATTCATCAGCCGCCTAACCCCACAATAAGGCTGCCTGCTCTCCTGAAGTAAAATGACTAAGCTATCGATTGTCTCACTGTAGAATCCCCTCTAATTTCTTATCCAAACCACGTGTGAGCTTTTAATATTTTGCCGTGGAAAGAAAATGAATTTCACAGCTGCGAGGCAGACGTTGTCTAAGAATTTCTGTCTCGGCTGGCTTTCTTTTCTCTCGGTCCTCCTCACCCCCAATTCAGTTCCCAAATAGATGTCATTTACTCTGATGCTCTGACAGTCACAAGATTCTCGTGCCCAAGCTATACAGACCTTGCATGCTTTCAAAACACAAAGAGTGGCCACAGGCTCCAGGTGGAGTCTCCCCCACACCGAATTTCCGGCAGAACCTTTGGAATCCTCGCAGCCGCCTTGTCCGCTGCCCTGGGCTGTGCCGCCTCAGCTCTGAGTAGCTCAGGACACTTGCAGGCTCCGAGGTACTGTACATTAACTCTGCAGCAGCCGGCTTGCTCAGCTGCAGACTGCTGCCTGACAGGGGATGTGCTGGCGTCAAGGGGGCCCTCTAGGTGGGTTCCCCGGACACTGCAGAGCCTCGCACTCCTCACTAGCCTCTAAGGAAGCTTGAGTGAAAGGGATTAAAGGAGCATACCCTGAAGGAGCAGATTTCTCTCAGTAAGTAATTAGGAGGCAGGGGCAGCTAAAGAAACCTGTAAATAACCTCGTAGGGAAATGACACGCTGAACAAATAGATATTATTATGGGGGGGGGGGTTCTGTCTGTCTGTTCAGTTTTTCCCACCGTATTCAATGAAAAGAAGGGGAACAAAAGAAGCCCAGAGAATGTGCAAATGACAGGGCTTTTGTTTTTGTTTGTTTGGTTTTGTTTTGTGGGGATTTTTTTGTTTTGTTTTTGTTTTTTTTTTTTTCTTTTAGCAAAAATATGGGGGTGGAGAAGCCTTATTTGCTAGATGATTTGTAACCAGTTAACTAAAGATTTCCACACTATGATTTTGGACAGGAAATCCTGGGGAAGCCAGTTCTGCAGAAATCAGTTAGACTTCAACTGCATCTGCGCATGCCATAAAGCCGCTTGTTTGATTAGTGGGTGTGTACTTAGGAGGAGAGCTCCTTTTTCATTTCCTGGAGCCTGCCCCCTTTGTTGCAAACAATCCTGCTCAATAATTCCCTGAAAGCACCCCATCACTGTTGATGCCATTTTGGAGCAAGAATAAAATAGTAAACTCTTGGCATAGTAGGTTGGCACTTGAATGGTGCTTGTCGGAAATCAGAGAATGGGTTTCTCAGTGGTGATGTGCACATTGATGCATCACTTTAACTTGGGTGTTTAAGAAGGTCGTTATGCAACTGCTTAATATTAAATGGAATACTGGCAACACTTAATATATCATGGTACTCATCATCGATTAGGGTTTTCTCCAGTGAGTTCTTGTCCTGGCAGAAAACATTACTCGGAGAGAGGGGGAGGGGGATTCACTTCCAATAAATTCTAAAGCAAGTGTAAAAGAAAATTGTCACTTTGACAACTGCTATGCTTTGATCAGTTGATGATCCTAGGGCAAGAATCCATTCCTGGAAGGAAGCAAAACTGAGTGCCTCCTTTAAAGCAATTCGCATGCAGAAAGATGGTACCCTATAGCACAAAGGAACTTGAGGGAAGTCACTGGCAGTTCCCGTGGTACAGGCGATGTCCTTACAGCACCTTTGTTTTTAAGGGAAGAAATTTTTCTCCTAAGGTCATTTGTGATCCGACCCAGAGCTCCTCAGCTTGAAATGTTCTTAACAAGCTAGTGATGCCTGGAGTCAGGTATCACAACAGCAATTCAAACGGGTGTATTACTTGGATATCATTATTTAAGATCTAGGTGTACTAGTCATGTCCCTGAGTGTCTTTGAAGAAGTCCACAGGATAATCTCATGTAACCCATCCAACAGTGACTAACTCTGTTCTGCAAATGAAGGATGGAGGTACGTACTTAGAAGTTAAGTGGATCACAGGAAGACAAACTCAAGAAGTCTGACCACACAGCTTTGAACTCATGTCTAGCCTGGTACTAGTCTAATGCTTTCTGAGATTTTTGCCTGTATTATTCTGCCTCCACACAAATAAGTGTGTCACCCCTTTGGGAATGAACTTAAGGGCCAGTTCTGTCCAGCATCACACCTCCAGGGAGAATAAACCCTGGAGCCCATTCAGGTTATGGCAACTGTCCTTTTTCATTTAGGGTAGGGATGATATGACAGGCATTGACTATTTCAAAACCTGAGCTTACTTCTTATGCCATGTAAGGAGGAAGGCCTCCTTAGAAAGTAGCATATATAAAAACAAAAGTGAAGTAGTATTATAATTTCCACCTAGTGACTATTCAATTTATAGGCCCAAATCCCTCAGAATCTCTCCCAGATAGAACACGGTTTCACACCTGATACTGGCCAGCAATGGCATAAACGAAACACTTTATAGAGTAAAATCACAGTATGACTCAGTCATTACATCATTAATGTAATTCATCATGAGATTTTCAAATTAAAATAGACTGTAAGAAGATATTTCAGTCAATATTTTTTTTTAAAAAAATCGAGGGTCACAAATATTAGACTATATTCTGCCACTGAGATGTTATATACCTACCTCTCCTTCAGCTTAATATTTCTGAGGTGACCCTTCCTTACTTTTATATATGTGTCTGTCAAATAAAGTATCACAAGCTAGATAGTAACAACTGAGAAGCTACAATAAGCACTAAAAGCTCTTAAAGCACAACAAATAAAAATACCATTCATCTCACAGTTCAGGAAGCTGAGACTGTAAATTAATGAATAACCTTAACTTGAGTAGTTTCACTTGAGGCAAATATAAGAGAAGAAGTGTGTTTCCTCTATTGCTACAGTTTTTGATTCTGTATTAGAGGAGTTTTAAGAGGCAAGTCCATTAAGTTACAAAAAGATACATCAGAAGACAGTAATTAATGAATGTGTGACTTTCAGAAAAGAGCAGAACAGTGTGGTAACTTAGAAATGAGTTCTACAAGATGAAGATTGTTGAGGGCACAACTCCTCTCTTTTGATGTATTTGAAGACAATAGTCACATTCTAGAACTTCAATTCCAGGTGAGCCATTGCAGGGTTTATTGCTCATCCCAGCCTCATGGATGGTTTCCATTCATTAAGGATCACTACTTACTAGCCACTGACTGGTATACCTTGGCAAGGTCCTACGGCTATGCTGTAGCCTGAGTTCAACCAGAAGCAAGGCTGATTATGTTTTGTGGCCCTTAAGCTTTCAATCCTGCAGAAAGCATAAAATTATCTGGTCCCTCAAAGCTGGACCAGCATTGGATACTCTCAAATGAGAGATGTGAGCAAAAATATGGTTAATTTTCTCTTCAGGTGAGAGCTAAAACAGAGAAAATCATAATGCTTTAGTCAACATTTTCCTGAAAAAGTTACTTCGGGCTTGAGAGGTGGCTTACAGGTAAGACAAATGTAAACACGGGGGTCCACAGAACCAACAGAAAAACCTGGGCATGGTCGCATAGGTGGCCATATCCTAGTTTTACTGAGGAACAGAGGCAAGAGGACTGGCAGGATTGCTGGCCACCAGTATGGCTCCAGGGCCACTGAGAAACTGTCTCAAGGGACGGAGTGGATGGCAGGCGAGTGTGCAAACACCACCTCAACTACCACACAGACACACACATATACTCACTGTTGCTCAGAGGTAGACTCTAAACAAGGAGAATTAACTACTCAGCATCGCCACTTCTTTTCTAATGCAATCTTTGTGTGTGTGTGTGGGGGGGGCTAACTCCTCCTAAGAGTGACAGTTTTTCAATCTAAACACTAGGAACCCTGACGTTTTGTCAAGTTGCTTTCCACCACCTGTGAGCCAAAATGGAGACACAGGGGTCTCTCCTCTTGCTCCTTCATCTCAAAGGTTTGTTCTCACAGGGAGGAATAGAGAGCCTTCAGAAAGTTGTATCCTTTCTTTACGTTTGAAGTCTCTGTTCTCTTCAGACTCCCTCAATTTCCAATGTCCCTTTCAGGTGATAAAAAGGATAAGTTATACCACCATGCCGATGTAATAATAGAACATTAAAGCCCCACCCTAGTCAGTCACTGAACTTGGGTGTTCCCTAAACTCTTAGTCATCTGTTCCTATCAGAAACGGACGGGGACATGGATTAACTCGTTCATTTTTACCCGCTGAGTTCCACTTTCAGAGAAACTTTTGAATTTAATTATCAACAGAAGTCTTTGTGTCACCCATATATGCTGGAATAATTAATAAGCTAATGCCATTGTTACCCTGGATGAAATAAGATGAAAATCCCCCCTCATGATTAGACATGAAAAGATTAAGTACCTGAAGCATAATCCTTTGCTAATTTTGCATGAATTTGTAACCATCAGTACAGATACATTAGTGGGTCTGGCACTCCTAAGGGGCTTGTTACCTTCTGTTCTTTCCTTGTTAGAAAGTAGTATCTGTGCCCTTACTTCACCTTCTGTTTATATAAAATACCTGTATGTATTTTAGCACATGCTGTATCTATGTTATAATAGCAAAAATGTGTTACATTGGAGTAAGTCATAGATAGATCCATTTGGATGTCTTGATGGTCACAGCAAATTTGAAGACAAAAAGTACAATTTACATTTTGGCTTGGTGTCTCAGGCTGTGACTCCTTAATTTCAAGTTCTTCCTATTTACATTTTATGTAATTTTCACCAGCTTACTAAATCTCTTTGAGGAAACCATTTGCATATATATATATATATATGTGTGTGTGTGTGTGTGTGTGTGTGTGTGTGTATTTCTACACTATGTGTATGTGTACAAACATAGTTTAACACAGTATTTTACTTACTGAAATAAATTTTACTACTTTGGGTACAAAGAGTATTTATTAAGTGTTACATATATTTCAATGTGCTTATTTTAGTATAAATACAGATTCTTCAGTAAAGTACAATTTACTTGTTTCAAGGTTTTGGTACATTTATGACGCCAAAAACATTATCAGCCCTCACAAAATGTTAATGAAAGACCATAGTAATAGTGACGAAATCTGCTTCTGACAACTTCTAGCAAAGGCTGCAGGCATGCTGCTCAGCACATTCATAGTTGAAACAGGAGAAGTACTTCCAAAGCCAGGGTTTCGATTGCTCAGCATCAGGGAACTGTGTGATGTTCTAGCATGTTGCTGCTATATTCAATTTTTGCATAAGGTTGTAACTGAGAAAACAGTACCAACTAATTTAAAAAAAAAAAATCACTAAAAAAAAACCCAAATCTGTCTTTTAAAATTAATTATTTATTTCCCACCCTGACTACATTTTCCCCTCCTCTCCCCCACTCCCTCCTCTGTTCCTTCGCCCCGATTCACTCCCCCCTCCCTTTCTGTTTGTTGAGTATCAACAAAACATGGTTGATCGAGTTGCAGTACGAGAAAGACCCTCCCCACCTAGTAAGGCTGGGGAAGGTGACAAATATGAGGAGTTGGAGACAGCCCCT